TGTGTCTTCTGATGGCATCCTTGAAACTGTGGCAGCCTAACCTGGTAGATTGCAATTAAGGTAAAAACCTGTTACAGTTCTTTACGGGTTCTAACATCCTATGGTAGCCACTATCTGCTCTGACCGAACACCTACCTCAACCTCCTAACTAGTCTCCTCATTCATGCCTTCGCCTTTCTGTCCTACAGTCATAAAGTCTTTATGGAAGCTGGATTTGTTTCCCCCCTAAAGTGTGAGATCATAAATTTTTCTGCTTGAAAATATTTCAATACTTTCTTTTTCCATGTAGAATGAAACCTAAACTCCTTGGTATGGCCTATGAAGTCCTACATGATCTAGCTCTCCTGCCTCCCTCTCTTATCAAATTACTCTTCCACCTGGTCTTTACACTGCAGCCACATGCCTTTCTTTTCTAAGACATTTTTGTATAAAAGTGTTTGTACTGATGTTTCTTCTGTGTATGTAGCACACAGAATCCCAATGACTTGCTGCTTCCCATTCTTCAGAGGAGTATTATGTAATAGATTCTAGTAAAGTGAAGGGTGGCAAACATTTTTTTGAAAGATTTTGAGATTATTTGATATATAGTTTTTTAAATATTCAAAATAATCAGCATGGGAAAATCAGAATTTCTTTGTAAGTTTTGAACCATGTCAAAATTCTAGAGTCACCTCCAGTGTCTCTGCCTCGTGCAGGTAAATTGCTTCACCAGCCCCAACCCCAACAATCCAGAATCTTGACACTCCAAGTACGGTTCTTTGTCTACCAGCATCTCCATTCTTGGGCCCCATCCTTTCCTAGTGAACCAGAATCTATATTTCAACAAGATCCCCAGGTGCTTTGTATGCACATCAAAATTCAAGATCCACTGCAGTAACCTCCTTTTCAAGAAAAATTGAGAAAATTCCTGTCACAGCACTCAGCACAGCATGAGTTAGCCTGCATTTTTATTCATTCATTATTAACCCTCCATCTCTGTTCTCCCCTCACTTCCTACTACACTGTGAGTTATAAAAGAGGGACTTGTTCATGTTGTTAACTGTATCTCCAAGGCCTAGAATAAGTCTTCAAATATTTTTGGAAGACATGAATGAGCAAAACACTCAGTAATTACTATTAATGAATTCCTTTATGGATAACTTTACACCAAAACATGGCCTAGTTTTTATTTACACAATTTAAGCTACGTATTAGGATCCTCAATGACTCAGTGTTTGATTCTTAAAATAACTGAGAAGGTTTAGTTGTGATATACCAGGAGATGACTTGGATCATTCCTCAAACATCTGAAGTTCTTGTTTGCTCTGTCTTGGAGGCCTGTAATAGCTTCAATTAATCCTTACTCCTTCAAATCCATCCTTCACTTTAAGGGTAGGGAAGTTTGTGGTACAATATGAAGGACACAGATTTGGATCAGAAAAACTCATCCTAATATTGCTTAACTGTGCCACCTGGGAAGTTAATTATCCTCTGAGTCTGTTTACTCATTTCGCTAAGAGATAATAAAATTTGCTTTCCAGGGTGTTAATGAGGATAAGCGAGCTACTGTATTCAAAACATCTAGCAGAGTAAGTTGATCAGGAAGGATTAGTTTCTTTCTTTCCCTCTTACCTTTAATCATGTCATTTTTTGCCTAAGCAAACAATCAGCAAAAGAAAACAAGAAAAAATTAAAAAAATCCCAAGACTTCAAAGCCCTTAAACATGATCTAAATGAATTCCTCTGCCTGGTGTACTCTGGCCAAGTTGCCAATTCCCATGAGTTTCTTACTAGCTCCCTCACCTGCCCCCAAACCGTTTTCCACCTGGTAAGATTGAGATGACTGCCTTCTGGTTAGCTGGTTTCTGTCTTGTCTCAGGAATATTCCCTACAGTCTCTAACCACCTTAATTGCACTTGCCCACGAAGGTACAGAGTAAAATCCCAAGACATCAAGAAGTATTCCTGGAAAGAAAACATCAAGCTCTTACTGATCTCTTTTATGAAGCTCCTGAGTATTTAGAGTTTGTATTGCCAATTTAATTATAAACTCTTCTGTGTTAATATTCATGTTTGAGATTGTTCCCCCAGCTAAGATAAAAACTTTCTGAAGACTGGAATAGTGCATTATATTTATTTATAACTCACAATGGATGGTAAAGTACTGCGTCATAAACCTTGTTGACTGTTTGCCCCAATTTTTCCCAGCTGCCCTTAAATTACTGGGTATTTTTCTAAGGCTGCTGATTCTGTTTGAATCACATGGTTTTTCTCTGGGAAATTTAAAACCTCAGTCTTGTTCTTGGAATTTCAAGAGTCCCAAGTTCAAATGCTTATAGAGTCCATGAAGGCGCAGGTGTAAGAAGCCAGGTGCAAGAATTCAGAGCTTGATGGAGGCTATGGGCAACAGGAGCCAGAGTGCTTAGTCTTGAGGGGTACATTGCTCAGGTCCAGCTAATTGTTGCATATAGGAATTTGGGCTCACATGTTTTACTTTGTTAAGAGAAGCCCCAAATCTGGACATTTATATAAAATTTCTCAATTTTCTAACTTTGACAAATATTTCAAAACAGTGCAGATAAAACGTATCTGTGAGATAAGAAGAGCATGTGGTTCATTAGGGCAGGGGTTTTCAACCTTGGCTGCTAACCAGAGTCACCTGGGAAGCTTTGAAAAATCCTGATATCCTGGTCACAGACCAGGCCAATTAAATCAGGATCTCTGGGGCTATTTCCCATGTATCAAAAAAAATTTTAATGCTATATAGTTGGTACGATATGCAGCCAACTTTGAAAACCACTGTCTTGGAGGTTTCAGTCTACCTTTCTCATTTCTTTTATAAATTTAGGTTTGGTATTATTTGTAAGGAGTGAGAACTCAGATACTCTTAATGTGTCTGGAGGAGACCTTAATTAGCATGGACCTTTGAAAGAAATCAATTCCACAACCTCTGTTTCATTTGCCTTATGACTTCTGCCATGTCATAAGTCATATGGAAGCTCTGGCATGTTCAGCTAATTTCATTCAGTCAGTTGCTCTACTATATTGCTATTATTTAAAGAAAAAAGTCATTTTTTGTGTGTTTTAGAAATAAATGCTAATTTATTCAATAAAATAAATTTTTTATAATGTTATTTATGTTTATTCTCAGTATTTTTTGCTCTATTTTTTCAACCAGCTCTTTTGAGAATGGATAGTTTCAAATCATATGTTCAGAGCAAAATAATTAGTATTGTAACTATTTTGTAGTCCCAATATTCCATGTCTGGGTGGCTAAGGGTGGCTTCCTAAAAACTTAAAAAACATCCCTGCAGATCTATGGGAGTGGATATGTATACAAGAGCAAAAGGCAGAGATAGGGGCATTCAAATACATTAACTATGTTTCTCCATTTTAATCTCCAAACCGTAAATATTCAACTCCCCTTTGGTGCGTAATACTCTGCCCTTAGATTTTGCCAATTCAGTTCTGATGTTACCTTTTCTTAAAGATTTTCAATTTTTTTTAATAGGTATTCTGACTGTTATTAATATTATATGTTATTTATATTATAATATATAATATTATACTGTTATTTATATTAATATGTCTGACTGTTATTCCAACATTGAACTTACATTCTTCTTTTTTATTGTTCATTCCTTAAAGTAGCCCATAGGTTTCAGTCACATGGTTGGGAATAATTTAAATAGACAGGGCTCAATAAGCTTTGCCAGCCTCTTGATCTCATGCTTTAAACAGATTTGTGTTCTTTTTTTAAAAAAATGATTTTAATTGGCAAATAAAAATTATATATGTTTATCATGTACAAAATATTTTGAAATATGTATACATTGTGGAATGGCAAAATTGAGCTACTTAACGTATGCATTATTTCACATATCATTTTTTTGTGATGAGAACATTTAAGATCTATTGTTTTAGTGATTTTTAAGAATACAATGATAGTCACCATTTGTACAATAGATTTCTCAAATTGTTCCTCCTATGTAACTGAAATTTTTATCTGCTTTTTCTTCTTTTTGGGCTGTAATTTGCCAGATTTTGTCAATGTAGCAATTGCTGGTAAACAGAAGATTTGGGGACTTTTACAACCTATAGAGGCACTTCAATCATGGTATAACAAGGAAACCATTATGGTTTGGAAAATTTTAACCTATGATGACCCAAGAAACATAGAAAATAAAAGCCAATTGTCTGAAGAAAAAAAATTTCTTATACTCATTTTGAGATATTAAAATCAGAATTATAAATGCAAAAATAACTGATGAAGGTTTTAAAAATTTGGGAAATTATGATGGAATGATGAAGTTTCTTTTAGATGAGAAAACAATTATATGAAAGTCCAGAAATTTGAATTATATAACACTGACTATTAATGAATGACTTAATTAGGTTACTTGGATATGTACAGTAAAATTTTTAGCTAGTTCAAGGAATATATATATATATGTATGTGTATATACAGCTAAAGTTATAGAAAAGACATAGCAAATTAACATTATATTTTAATGTGTTTTAGAGAAGTAATGAAGCATGAGTGAAAGGTTTTATATCTTTAAACTGATCCTGGCTCAATGTTACAAGTGTATTTTAATTTACAGTTTGAACTATGGTAGCCAAGTCCTCTTGTGTCTAATTTGAAGTATTCTAATTAAGTTCTTAGTAGTTTAAGTCTTATTCTCTTGTCAATCACTTTTTAAGCTTAATTAAAAGGTTTTCATTAATGGTATGTGTGTGTGTATTACATTTTCTCTCCCACTAGATTAAATATTGCTTGAATAAACAGGCCATTCACATTTATTGTCCTCTCTGTGCCTAGCACCATGCTCTGTGCATGGTAGGTGCTAATTAAATGCTTTTGAAACATGTTGAATTAATTTCTACACATAACATGGAGGTCATCATGACATTTGTAACTACCCAACTCACTGCTGAGATGAAATAAAAGGAGCCAATTTTATATCGTACCCAACAAAAATTGGCAGGATAAAAGAACAAGGAAAAGAAACAAAGACTTACTCTGTAGTCACTTGACGTCACATAAAATATAGGAAGGAAAGCCAGCCAGATGATGCAGGTGGTGTACATGGTAAAACCTATGAACTTGGCTTCGTTGAAATTTTCTGGGCACTTCCGCGTTTTGAAGGCATACACAGTGCATAAGATCACCAAGATCACATCATAGGTAAGAGAGATCAACATGCTGGAATCTTTGACGTTGCATTTTAAGATGACTGTTTCCCGCTTCTCTGGAAGGGTGTACCTCCTGGTGCCTGGAGCCTCCAGGATGAGCCACACAGATACCATCACAATTTGCACCAGTATCAGACCCAGGCAGATGAAAACCTGAGAACTGGGGCTGATGAATTTTGGCCTCTGAGCGCCATTCTTGACCCCATCGAAGATGCGGGCGATGCAGTTTGTCTTGGTCAGCAGGGCTGAGTAACAGACAGCGAAGGAAGTCCCCAGCCCGAGTCGACGCAACGCGCAGATGACCGGTGATGGCTTGGCAATGAAGAAGAATGTCATGCAATATGACAGGCCAACCCCAAATAATAAGATGTAGCAGAGTTCCCGGCCTGATGCTTTGACCAAGGGTGTGTTGTTGTGCTTGATAAAAACAGTTACAACCATGCATGTGCACATAAAACCCAGGCAAGCAATGGTGACTGGACCAATGGCCCAGGCATCTTCCCACCTGATGTAGTCCTCAGGAAGGTCAAAGCATCCAGTTAGGTCTGCAGTGGGCCACTGCCCAGGCCCACAATCCATACAGGTAAACTCGTCAGCCAGGTATTCGTAGGGCTCGCAGGGGATGCAAATCCAGCAGCAGACATCCCCTGGCTGCATGTTCTTCATTTCATTGGGGGCACAGGGGTCACTGCACTGGGAAGTGGGGACTGAGTTCCGGGACCAATGAATAGAATCAACCTCTAGTGATAAGGTCTCCGCCCAATGACCAACCTTCAAGTAGCCATACTTTCCACCTACATACTGGAAATTGAACACGTTGTATCGCCCCATTCCGTCTCCAAAAGTGTCAAACTTGATGATGCTATCTGCACCTTTATTTGGGTTAAAGGGAGCTGTGAGATGTAAAGAAAAAAGAAAAGAACACTTGTTTAGGTATCTCATGTGTGACAATCAATGACTTTATGTCATACACTTAGCAAAACTGAAATTATAGGGAATGGAGATTCCAAGCCTGAAATAACTTATCAGTTACACATTGAAAGCTACACATCAAAAGCTACTTGAGTACTCAGGCACTCATAAATCGATTCAGTTAACATTACTGAGTGTCTAACAGGTGTCAAGTGTCAGTAATAATCATGAGCATAATACAGTGCTGTCTTCAAAGGAGTTCATTTTGTAATGGGGGACTTGCAGACATGCAGTCATATTCTCCATGGTGTGCAAGTATTCTCTTCTTGAAAGATTTCACGATAGAAATTGGGCAAAACATTGTATCTCATTCTTATCACATATTTATTTACAGTCACCAAGATGTTTCTCATCTTAAATATTTTCATGAAAATATAAAATAATTAGGAAGAATTTTTCTTCTCATTATAGATGTATGATATGCTTCTTTTAAACGGTTCAGATGACTCAGAAAAAATTAAAACCCACCCATAATCCTTCAACTTTAACGATTTAATGTTTTGGAGCATATTCATTTTGACTACATATATGCATGTGTCTATATAGAGCATGCTCCTATTCACGTAGACAGATACCACTTGTCTGTATATAGAATCTAGGTAAGTGTGTTTTAAAGTTTGTTCCTAAGAGAACAGGGTCAGGAGCAGCAGTCAGGACAAATGGACTGCTTTCAACCCTGTCCCTTTCTTACAGTTCTCTGTGAGTCCCTGAGAGCAGCAGGTCTCTGAGCATTTATGATTCCTCTTCCAGTCACCATTCATTTCTCTCTTGCCAATGTCTGCCATCACTCTGATAACCCATTTCTACATCACACACTCTGGTATACTGTGTGCTTCTATGTCACACTGCCAATCTTTACTCTTTCTCAGGAAAAGAATATGGCTGATATCTGTGTGATGCACAAACTGTCTATTAGTCATGATAAGTTTGCCTATGTTGGTAAATAGACCCACAATTATTTAATGGCTCTAACAAAATGGAAGTCCATTTCTCTTTCATGTAGCAGTCTAAGGTCTTATTTTGTTGGTGTCTCTCTTCTACATGGGATTCAAAAACCCAGTTTACTTTCATCTTGAAGCTGTGCCCATTCCTAGCACCCATCCAGTGGAAGACAAAAGAGTATGAGGAAGGTATGGCACATATGTTCATTCATATATCATTGCTTAAAAGTCACAGGGACATATCCAACTTTAAAATAGGCTATAAAATGTAGTTTAGCTAATGTGCTCTGCTACTACTATTCCACAGAATGAAAGATTGGAATATAGGGGACACTGCAGTCTCCTGACCTTGGGAATGTCAACTGTCTTTGTTGCCTCCCAACGAGCTGTCTTCTTCTTGGGTCCAGTTATTTAATGGAGGAAAAGTGTCCCTCAATGAATCACTTGGGTCCCTGATAAAAGAGGACTTCACATTTTACAAAATAGCCCTCTTCTCCAAAAGCATATAGGTGCCCTTAAAGGGTTGTATTGGGTAGTTTATAATAAAGCCTCATACCATATATAAGGTCTGTTAGCAACTGTAGTCTAATATGACTAATTTTCCCCAATTAATAAGAACTTTTTTCCTTTTAGTTTTCTTGTCATTTCACCCTGTAATTTGACTTTCCCAACCTCCACCTCCTTCTGCAACATTCCAAACCCACCACGTATGTCTGCAAGTGTCTGTACTCCAGACGTGGGTTGGTTTCAAGTTGTAAGGATGATGTAGTAGATAACTGTGTGATTCTGGAGTTAAAGGGACTGTATGTGATTCTCACCTCTATCTTTTAATAATTGTGTGTCCTTGAACAAGTTAACCTTTCTAAGTCTGTTTCTTGATTATCACGTAGGGAATAAGATTTTTTTTTTTAAGACTTGTTGAAATAAGCCACGTAACATGCTCAGTGCAGTGCATGGTATCCAGTAAACATGTAACATAAAATTTAGTGATAATCACAGCTAAAAATAAAAAGATAAAATAACTTCATGAAAAAGGAGAGCTGAATGAGAAGGGAGGAAGGGATGGGAGGGGATGTTATTCAATTCTACGTACTGCTGTATCCAAGCTTCACTTCTGACCCAGTCAGGACCCTGGTCCTCCAGCCCCTCCCTGCTCTTCCATAGTTACCAATAGGTAATGATACCTATTGTTTGGGAATGTATATTTTTATTTAATGAGGTATTGTGGATATTTTTCTCTTTTATAGATATATCTTTATTTTCAATGGCTCCATACTATAATATTGCACATAAGTATCAAGCTACTCAAGCAGTCCTATAGTTTTAACATTTAGGTTGTTTCCACAGTTTTGGTTTCATTAACCTCATTATCTAGTTATTTCCTTAAAGCAAATTCACAGAAGTAAAATTGCTGGGTCAAAGTAAAATTGCCAGGCCAAAATTTAGCTACAGAGTACCAGGTTGCCATCCAGAAAACTTCTTTTTTTATGTGTCTTATTTTTTTACCAATTCACACTCCCATTAACATTGTACAGGACTGCCCATCTCCACAATCCTACCAACCCTGTGTATTATTGTTGGTCTTTTCAATCATGGACAAACTGATAGGTAAAATTATGATCTTATTTTAATTTGTATTTCTATGACTTTTAGAGAGGCTAATTATATTTTAATATTTAAAAAAATCATTTGATTTTGTGAATTGCTGGTTCATGTACTTTTCACTTGTTTTCTTTGCCATGTTTATGGTTTTTAAAAAAATAATAGGTAAGCGCTATATATGGATTGAACATATTAATCCTTTATCACATATGTTGGAAATATTCTTTTTAACTTTGTTTATGCTAGTTTTTTCCCAACCAGATTCTTAAAATCTTAGGTAACTAATTCTATCAATCTCTTCCTTGTTATTTCTACCTTACATACCAGCCCAGAAAATCCTTTCCTACTCCAAGACTGCTAAAATATTTATCTAAATTTTTTTCTATTACTTTTATGGTTTTCTTTTTTACATTAAAAATTTTAATGCACTTCAAATTTACATTAGTATAAAGTGTGAGGTAGGATTCTAATTCACTTTTTTCTCAAATGGCTAATAATTTAATTTAAATTAAATACTAAAAAATAAAATATAAATACACTTATTAAAATGTCTATTTTACTATACAATAATTTATCATATAAGGGAAAATTATAAAGTAATAAAAGTACTAAATAATAATTTCCCACTGATTTATAGTACTTGTCATTTTATTACATCCCATGATACTCAAATCTTTATGCTATTTCTTGTTTCTCTTGATCTCTTTCCATAGTGGTATGATTTTTTACAACTACCACAGCTTTATACTAATCTTTAGTGTTGGTTAGGATGACACAGGAGTTGAAACATATTACTATATTTTCAGATATAGGAATCAATATCAAATTCCTATATCAGATAAAACTAAATTTATTTATTCTATGCTTAGAAAAATTTATTAAAATTTTAAGGATTCCTTTCAAAAATTTTACAAATAAGAAAAATATTGAATATTTTAATACATTTTATAGTATGTGTAAGAACTTGAGATGTGCTATTTTGTTATTCTCAGGAAGGCACCCAAACTGCATCAATGTTTGCTTAATGTTTTTAGATGATTTCTGGAAAATATTTCTAAAAGAAACATGTTTTATGTTTTTAGTTTAAATATTTCACTATTTTACCTAGTAGAATGGGCTCCAGCTCTATCCAGGATAATACAAGAGGTGCTAGATAACCATTGTATTTTTTGGCTGAGTAGAACTCCATGGTATACATATACCACATTTTATTAATCTACTCATGTATTGATGGGCGATTGGGTTTTTCCACATCTTTGCAATTGTGAATTGTGCTGTTATAAACATTCAGATGTTTTTTTTTATAGAATGCCTTTTTTTCCTTTGGGTAGATGCCCAGTAATGTGATTGCTGGATCAAATGGTAGTTCTACTTGTAGCTCTTTGAGGTATCTCCACATTACTTTCCATAGAGGTTGTACTAGTTTGCAGTCCCATCAGCTGGAGCCCATTCTACTAAGTAAAGTATCACAGAATAGAAAAATAAGCACCACGTGTACTCACCATCAAATTGGTATTAACTGATCAATACTTATGTGCACATATAGTAGTAACATTCATTGGGTGTTGGTGAGGGGGAGGATAGGGAAGGGATGGGGATTTTCACACCTAATAGGTGAGGTGTGCACTATCTGGATGATGGACATGCTTGAGGCTCTGACTTGGGTGGGGCAAAGGCAATATATATAACCTAAACATTTGTACACCTGTAATATGCTGAAATAAAAAAAAATCACTGTTTTCACAGCAATTCTTTAATATAATAGTTCTCAAAATTAATATATTTAATGGGTAGTAAAAGTGTTTTGTGTGTTCTGAGCTAATGAAGGTTATTAAGATTGTTGGCATGTGAGTTAATAATATTAACATTAAAAATGTAATATATGTTCCTTTATAAATCTTTTTTGGAAATCATCTAATAGCATCAACTGAATATTGATGGAGACTGGTTACCTACTTGAGAATAACAAAATTAATAACACATCTGAGGTTTATACCCTTGATATAAAATGTGTTAAAAAATTCAACATTTTATTTATTTGTAACACATGAAAGGAGTTCCTAAAATTTTTAAAGAAGTTTTTGAAGCAGGTCAATGTATTACATATCCAAAAGTTAAATAATAAAAAATTAAAGCATACATTGACAATCAAGTATCACCAGACATTTAAGTAAACTTCGAACTTGAAAGACAGTGACTGAATCAACCAGATAAAACAGTTGGAAAAAATAGAGACAATGCAGGAAGCAAAATTCAAAGGCTTTAAGACATCAATATGCTCAGAGAGATAAGTGAAGATATTGCTATGAGATAGGCACAGGATATTCTTTAAAAGGATTATACAGAGAATAAGAATGAGCTTTCGGACATGAAATAGC